TTTAAATAGTAATTGAATCTTTATTTTTTTTTTTGGGTTACATGATATTAGGTTTGTGCTGTCTATTTCTTCAAATTTAGCGACAATTACCGTAATTTGAGTTAAATTAGAACATTTTCCATGAAAAACAAGAGTGGCTGGGCCCTTGAGTTATAACTTATTTGACATTTTTATGTTATACACCAAGTAATTACAATATATGTTTCTTTTTTTTTTTTTTTTGGTTCTATATATAAAAGTATTCAAATTAGTTTATATATATTTCAATTAATTTTCTCAGACGGATCATCAACGTGAATCTGAATTTAAATTCGATTTTGTAGTAATAGGCCTATGTTCCCATTTATAAAGCACAACCCCATGAAAACCTCTCTCTCTCTCTCTCTTTCTGCCTCTACTCCTTTCTCTTGAACCCCACCATGGCCAAAACCTCCGAAATGAGTTCCATCATCTTCGTCATCTTCTTTTTCTCTCTCTTCCTTCCCGGAAACTCTCACCCTTTCTCCAGAAACTTGTCCATGGAATCACTTGGACTCAAACAAGAAAAACTAACCCACCTTCACTTCTACTACCAAGACATAGTCAGCGAGCCAAACCCCACCGCCGTCCGTGTCGCAGCGGCGGCGATAACAAACACATCCGCCACCGGATTCGGCGCGGTGGTCATGATCGACGACGCCTTGACGGAAGGTCCGAACCTAAACTCGAAACTCGTCGGAAGAGCACAGGGAATCTACGCGCTGGCTGGGTTGAATGAATCAGCGTTGTTGATGGTTTTCAACTGTGAGTTTGTCGAAGGAGTGTACAATGGGAGTACTCTGAGTATATTGGGGAGGAATTCAGTGTTTTCTCCGGTGAGAGAAATGTCGGTCGTCGGAGGTAGTGGAGTTTTCCGGTTTGCTCGTGGATATGCTCAGGTGAAGACATTCTCTTTTGATTTGAAAACTGGGGATGCTGTTGTGGAATACAATGTCTATGTCTTCCACCATTGACTTCACATTCCACCTCGTATGGATAGGGAGTATCGTATGAGTTTACAAGGTCTTGAATGATCTTCAATGGATAGGATGTGTCATGTGAGTTTATAATAAGGTCTTTAACGATTCTTCGATGGATAGGGAGTGTCGTATGAGTTTATAAAGTCTTGAATGATCTTCAATGGATAGATTCTTCGATAGATAGAGAGTGTCGTATGAGTTTATAAGATCTTGATAAATGATTCCTCATTTAAGCTCTTTAGTTCTATTCCTCGTTTAAGTTTGTTTGGATCAAATTTATCGATTAAGTTTATTGATCAAATCTATCATTTTTGTTAGATATACTTCATATCTCATTTAGTATATTGGGTTTGAATAGTGAATTTGATCAACAAACTTTGGAAAAAGTAGTAATGTTCATTTTTGATTTGGTTTGGTTTATTAATTATTGGTTCAAATTTGCTCCGGTGTATGAGTTTCTATCTAATCTTGAGCTATTTTGAGAGATTTAATCCAAATAATAATTCAAATGGTAATAGGGATGAGTTGTAAATTCAGACGTTTAATTTTGACAACCTCATGAATACTCTAATTCTAGCATATCAGATTATCCACGTTAGAACTAAAGTAAATTCTTCATGATCTGACTCTAAGAAATTATCAAAATTCAAATTCAAAACGTGTAGATTTTTAGCTTGTATATGTTATTAGTTGAACTACCTTTGAGGTTATCATTTGAAAACTTCCCACATCGCTGTGCTCACCATTTTTCAAATTAACGACCAGAGAAAGGAAAAACAAAAACATTTCTCCAACTATAATGCGAGTGTCTCTACCTTTTTAAAATTTTATATTATGTATCATTTAAAAAGTTATATTAGTTAATTATTTATTATAATAATAATAATAATCCATTGATGAATATCGAAAAACAGATTAGTAGATTCAACTACCCACTTGATTATATTATCTAAATCCCTTTTTTCGTGTAATTTGGGATGGAAGTTTTCGGCATTTTCCAACCTAAAATTTCTTCAACAACTTGTTATGAGGACAATGTTATCATGTTGGTTGCTATTGTTTAGTATACTTCATTTTCTACATTATATTTGAACTATATACGAGATAAACTAAACAATAATACGATTAGTTTGTATGGATAACTAGCTAAAAGATTAAGTTATTGTCAAACATGAATAATTTCATTATGTAACATGTATTGCAAGTAAAAATAAATAAATAAAAAGTTTAGGGGTTCAATTGACGCAATTAGAGAGTTCAGGGGTTCAATTAATATACGAAAAAAAAATTCAGGTATTTAATTGACATAAGAGTCATAACTTGAGAGTCATATATTTATTATACTCAAAAATAAAATTCCCTACCGAACCAGTAAAAATGTCACGTATGGAATTTTGATTGTACGTTTAAAAACCAGTAATATGAATGATAAGATTGTATATAGCCCACCCTCCTAGACATTTTTGATTTGAAAATTGTCTGTTGAGTTGGTGCACTACTATGGTTGGATTCGAATCTCATTGACTGTTAGATTATCTCTAACTATTTAAGTGTCCATCACTCAAAATAGATCTAAGTGATAATTATTTGTATCTAAGTGGATCTTTTACTAATACATAACATGTGTTAAGGGAACCGAAAAAGGTCGGGAACGAGTTGGGCATGGTTTATTGGGCCCACCGATTAGTGGCCCAGGGTGTACCTTGGACCACGCAGCCCGTCTAAAAAACACATGACCCAAGATTTTTTAATGGACAAAAAAAGGACCGATACACAATATTAGAGNGTACTTCATATCTCATTTAGTATATTGGGTTTGAATAGTGAATTTGATCAACAAACTTTGGAAAAAGTAGTAATGTTCATTTTTGATTTGGTTTGGTTTATTAATTATTGGTTCAAATTTGCTCCGGTGTATGAGTTTCTATATAATCTTGAGCTATTTTGAGAGATTTAATCCAAATAATAATTCAAATGGTAATAGAGATAAGTTGTAAATTCAGACGTTTAATTTTGACAACCTCATGAATACTCTAATTCTAGCATATCAGATTATCCACGTCAGAACTAAAGTAAATTCTTCATGATCTGACTCTAAGAAATTATCAAAATTCAAATTCAAAACGTGTAGATTTTCAGCTCGTATATGTTATTAGTTGAACTACCTTTGAGGTTATCATTTGAAAACTTCCCACATCGCTGTGCTCACCATTTTTCAAATTAACGACCAGAGAAAGGAAAAACAAAAACATTTCTCCAACTATAATGCGAGTGTCTCTACCTTTTTAAAATTTTATATTATGTATCATTTAAAAAGTTATATTAGTTAATTATTTATTATAATAATAATAATAATCCATTGATGAATATCGAAAAACAGATTAGTAGATTCAACTACCCACTTGATTAGATTATCTAAATCCCTTTTTCGTGTAATTTGGGATGGAAGTTTTCGGCATTTTCCAACCTAAAATTTCTTCAACAACTTGTTATGAGGACAATGTTATCATGTTGGTTGCTATTGTTTAGTATACTTCATTTTCTACATTATATTTGAACCATATACGAGATAAACTAAACAATAATACGATTAGTTTGTATGGATAACTAGCTAAAAGATTAAGTTATTGTCAAACATGAATAATTTCATTATGTAACATGTATTGCAAGTAAAAATAAATAAATAAAAAGTTTAGGGGTTCAATTGACGCAATTAGAGAGTTCAGGGGTTCAATTAATATACGAAAAAAAAATTCAGGTATTTAATTGACATAAGAGTCATAACTTGAGAGTCATATATTTATTATACTCAAAAATAAAATCCCCTACCGAACCAGTAAAAATGTCACGTATGGAATTTTGATTGTACATTTAAAAACCAGTAATATGAATGATAAGATTGTATATAGCCCACCCTCCTAGACATTTTTGATTTGAAAATTGTCTGTTGAGTTGGTGCACTACTATGGTTGGATTCGAATCTCATTGACTGTTAGATTATCTCTAACTATTTAAGTGTCCATCACTCAAAATAGATCTAAGTGATAATTATTTGTATCTAAGTGGATCTTTTACTAATACATAACATGTGTTAAGGGAACCGAAAAAGGTCGGGAACGAGTTGGGCATGGTTTATTGGGCCCACCGATTAGTGGCCCAGGGTGTACCTTGGACCANATCTAAGTGATAATTATTTGTATCTAAGTGGATCTTTTACTAATACATAACATGTGTCAAGGGAACTGAGAAAGGTCGGGAACGAGTTGGGCATGATTTATTGNCTCAAAATAGATCTAAGTGATAATTATTTGTATCTAAGTGGATCTTTTACTAATACATAACATGTGTTAAGGGAACCGAAAAAGGTCGGGAACGAGTTGGGCATGGTTTATTGGGCCCACCGATTAGTGGCCCAGGGTGTACCTTGGACCACGCAGCCCGTCTAAAAAACACATGACCCAAGATTTTTTAATGGACAAAAAAAGGACCGATACACAATATTAGAGATATTAGGGAAAAAATACACCTTTCAAANCTTGCCTCTTGGTGCAAGATTCAAGTTTCATCAATTCCCTCTTCCTTTTTTAAATAGTAATTGAATCTTTATTTTTTTTTTTGGGTTACATGATATTAGGTTTGTGCTGTCTATTTCTTCAAATTTAGCGACAATTACCGTAATTTGAGTTAAATTAGAACATTTTCCATGAAAAACAAGAGTGGCTGGGCCCTTGAGTTATAACTTATTTGACATTTTTATGTTATACACCAAGTAATTACAATATATGTTTCTTTTTTTTTTTTTTTTGGTTCTATATATAAAAGTATTCAAATTAGTTTATATATATTTCAATTAATTTTCTCAGACGGATCATCAACGTGAATCTGAATTTAAATTCGATTTTGTAGTAATAGGCCTATGTTCCCATTTATAAAGCACAACCCCATGAAAACCTCTCTCTCTCTCTCTCTGTCTGCCTCTACTCCTTTCTCTTGAACCCCACCATGGCCAAAACCTCCGAAATGAGTTCCATCATCTTCGTCATCTTCTTTTTCTCTCTCTTCCTTCCCGGAAACTCTCACCCTTTCTCCAGAAACTTGTCCATGGAATCACTTGGACTCAAACAAGAAAAACTAACCCACCTTCACTTCTACTACCAAGACATAGTCAGCGAGCCAAACCCCACCGCCGTCCGTGTCGCAGCGGCGGCGATAACAAACACATCCGCCACCGGATTCGGCGCGGTGGTCATGATCGACGACGCCTTGACGGAAGGTCCGAACCTAAACTCGAAACTCGTCGGAAGAGCACAGGGAATCTACGCGCTGGCTGGGTTGAATGAATCAGCGTTGTTGATGGTTTTCAACTGTGAGTTTGTCGAAGGAGTGTACAATGGGAGTACTCTGAGTATATTGGGGAGGAATTCAGTGTTTTCTCCGGTGAGAGAAATGTCGGTCGTCGGAGGTAGTGGAGTTTTCCGGTTTGCTCGTGGATATGCTCAGGTGAAGACATTCTCTTTTGATTTGAAAACTGGGGATGCTGTTGTGGAATACAATGTCTATGTCTTCCACCATTGACTTCACATTCCACCTCGTATGGATAGGGAGTATCGTATGAGTTTACAAGGTCTTGAATGATCTTCAATGGATAGGATGTGTCATGTGAGTTTATAATAAGGTCTTTAACGATTCTTCGATGGATAGGGAGTGTCGTATGAGTTTATAAAGTCTTGAATGATCTTCAATGGATAGATTCTTCGATAGATAGAGAGTGTCGTATGAGTTTATAAGATCTTGATAAATGATTCCTCATTTAAGCTCTTTAGTTCTATTCCTCGTTTAAGTTTGTTTGGATCAAATTTATCGATTAAGTTTATTGATCAAATCTATCATTTTTGTTAGATATACTTCATATCTCATTTAGTATATTGGGTTTGAATAGTGAATTTGATCAACAAACTTTGGAAAAAGTAGTAATGTTCATTTTTGATTTGGTTTGGTTTATTAATTATTGGTTCAAATTTGCTCCGGTGTATGAGTTTCTATCTAATCTTGAGCTATTTTGAGAGATTTAATCCAAATAATAATTCAAATGGTAATAGGGATGAGTTGTAAATTCAGACGTTTAATTTTGACAACCTCATGAATACTCTAATTCTAGCATATCAGATTATCCACGTTAGAACTAAAGTAAATTCTTCATGATCTGACTCTAAGAAATTATCAAAATTCAAATTCAAAACGTGTAGATTTTTAGCTTGTATATGTTATTAGTTGAACTACCTTTGAGGTTATCATTTGAAAACTTCCCACATCGCTGTGCTCACCATTTTTCAAATTAACGACCAGAGAAAGGAAAAACAAAAACATTTCTCCAACTATAATGCGAGTGTCTCTACCTTTTTAAATTTTTATATTATGTATCATTTAAAAAGTTATATTAGTTAATTATTTATTATAATAATAATAATAATCCATTGATGAATATCGAAAAACAGATTAGTAGATTCAACTACCCACTTGATTATATTATCTAAATCCCTTTTTTCGTGTAATTTGGGATGGAAGTTTTCGGCATTTTCCAACCTAAAATTTCTTCAACAACTTGTTATGAGGACAATGTTATCATGTTGGTTGCTATTGTTTAGTATACTTCATTTTCTACATTATATTTGAACTATATACGAGATAAACTAAACAATAATACGATTAGTTTGTATGGATAACTAGCTAAAAGATTAAGTTATTGTCAAACATGAATAATTTCATTATGTAACATGTATTGCAAGTAAAAATAAATAAATAAAAAGTTTAGGGGTTCAATTGACGCAATTAGAGAGTTCAGGGGTTCAATTAATATACGAAAAAAAAATTCAGGTATTTAATTGACATAAGAGTCATAACTTGAGAGTCATATATTTATTATACTCAAAAATAAAATCCCCTACCGAACCAGTAAAAATGTCACGTATGGAATTTTGATTGTACATTTAAAAACCAGTAATATGAATGATAAGATTGTATATAGCCCACCCTCCTAGACATTTTTGATTTGAAAATTGTCTGTTGAGTTGGTGCACTACTATGGTTGGATTCGAATCTCATTGACTGTTAGATTATCTCTAACTATTTAAGTGTCCATCACTCAAAATAGATCTAAGTGATAATTATTTGTATCTAAGTGGATCTTTTACTAATACATAACATGTGTTAAGGGAACCGAAAAAGGTCGGGAACGAGTTGGGCATGGTTTATTGGGCCCACCGATTAGTGGCCCAGGGTGTACCTTGGACCACGCAGCCCGTCTAAAAAACACATGACCCAAGATTTTTTAATGGACAAAAAAAGGACCGATACACAATATTAGAGATATTAGGGAAAAAATACACCTTTCAAAAACATTTGTAACAAAGTCCACCCACTATAACAAAAGTCCATAATAGCCCTTTTTGAAGTTGAAGAAATTTTCCATCCATATAAGGAAACCAACGACAAGAAGGAGAAGAGGTAGCAACTGTTTACACGTCTCCACCATTGGCGGTCGGAGTTTGCACAATTTGAGGAGAAAATTTGAAATTCAAAATCTATGCAATATCTATCCCAAAAACATTCTCTTAGTAGTCACATTACAAAGAAACGATTTCAAAGAAATTCATTGTTATTGAAGGTTACACTATTAACAAAACCCACCGCCAACATCGTTAGAATCCATTGAAGTCGAGGGTTTCAATGTGAAGAACACAAACCACTGGCAACTTCGTTGAAAAAATATGGGTTCTTTGGATTCCATTGAAGTTGNAAGATTTTTTAATGGACAAAAAAAGGACCGATACACAATATTAGAGATATTAGGGAAAAAATACACCTTTCAAAAACATTTGTAACAAAGTCCACCCACTATAACAAAAGTCCATAATAGCCCTTTTTGTGTTCAATGTGAAGAACACAAACCACCGGCAACTTGGTTGAAACAATATGGGTTCTTTGGATTCCATTGAAGTTGAGGGTTTTACTATGAAAGAATAACCACCGCCGGCAACTTCCTCCACCATCAACGATAGTAATTAAGTACACATTGTTATTTAAAGTTATTAAGATTTTGACTAATTTTTGTTAAGAAATTTGTGATTTTATAAAAAAAATTTTTTTATNAACAAAGTCCACCCACTATAACAAAAGTCCATAATAGCCCTTTTTGTGTTCAATGTGAAGAACACAAACCACCGGCAACTTGGTTGAAACAATATGGGTTCTTTGGATTCCATTGAAGTTAAGGGTTTTACTATGAAAGAATAACCACCGCCGGCAACTTCCTCCACCATCAACGATAGTAATTAAGTACACATTGTTATTTAAAGTTATTAAGATTTTGACTAATTTGTTAAGAAATTTGTGATTTTATAAAAAAAAAAATTTTAAAAAACTTAAATATTGAATTTGAACTGATTACTATTTCAAATCATAATCATAAGGATGTATGGCAATACTCGACACATAAGACATAGTGCGACCAATCACCTCATGTGAAAAAAATTCACAACAAAAAACAAGCACATAAGTGTTTCATTAATTTATTATTTTGATCAACAACAAAGTGGATGTCATTAACTTAACACATTACAGGGTCGACTGTGATGTCTATATTTGCTACATTATGAAGAAATTGGCAAAAGGAGAAGAAGTAGAAGAGANAAAAAACTTAAATATTGAATTTGAACTGATTACTATTTCAAATCATAATCATAAGGATGTATGGCAATACTCGACACATAAGACATAGTGCGACCAATCACCTCATGTGAAAAAAATTCACAACAAAAAACAAGCACATAAGTGTTTCATTAATTTATTATTTTGATCAACAACAAAGTGGATGTCATTAACTTAACACATTGCGGGGTCGACTGTGATGTCTATATTTGCTACATTATGAAGAAATTGGCAAAAGGAGAAGAAGTAGAAGAGAAGCTAACACAATTGGGGATCTTTAATATAAAAGTCATGATTGTTCCATGTACATGTTGTTTAATTTTATTTACATTGGCTTTGTTGTTCATGTGGATATATATATGTACAATAATGTAACAATAGGTTATGAAATAATTGAATGGACGGTGTCCACAGTGTCTCTGATTGCTTGCACGAGAAATAATATGTTTGTCGACATGTTGTTACCGTGTGTCGACGAAATATTACAGNTCCACAGTGTCTCTGATTGCTTGCACGAGAAATAATATGTTTGTCGACATGTTGTTATCGTGTGTTGACGAAATATTACAATGTGACAACTCAGTGTTACATTTGAAACATAAGCTTACTAGAAAGTTATAGTGTGACATAAATTAATGTTTTATACAGTGTTATATTACCATTAGTAGGATTAGACACTATTATATTGTCACAACGATTGTCTAACTGCCCGAGCCACATAAAATGGCATGATTGTCACAGTGTAATTACACACTAGAAAATCAAAATGGTTGCTAGGTATGATGATCATTTTATCGTACAACTGTGACAACGAGTTGATACACAACGTTAACTGATTGTTTGAAAACACACAATAAGATTCTTATATCATAGTGTGAAATCAAAGTATAACATAATTTGAAATAAGGTTGAACACCACTTTTCTTGAACGAGCTAGAGAACATGGTGTGGCATCATTGTCTCATTAATTGGATGCATAGAATACACTGCTGGGCAATGTGACATGGATTCAATGGCATTTCAACAAACTAAGTAGGTTAGAATAATTTGACAACAAAGTTTGATAACCATTTCTTGATGCATTCAGGACAAATCATAATATATTTCACTGAAAAACTAAATTTAAAAAACACCAATCATAATGTCATTAATCTGTAAGCAAAAAAATTTACAACAGCGCATTACAATTTTTTACAATACAATTTGGAAAAGATGAAGATCAGACAGTGATTCAATATGATGATATTTTTCGCCTGATGAAAAACTCGATTATGACTTAAATGTTGAAAAATAAAAAGAATGTATAGTTTAAAATACCAGACGTTGAACAATGAAGAGGAAGATANTTTACCACAGCGCATTACAATTTTTTACAATACAATTTGGAAAAGATGAAGATCAGACAGTGATTCAATATGATGATATTTTTCGCCTGATGAAAAACTCGATTATGACTTAAATGTTGAAAAATAAGAAGAATGTGTAGTTTAAAATACCAGACGTTGAACAATGAAGAAGAAGATGTAGTTTAAAATAGAAATTCACAGTCCCATGAAATAGTAAACATGTTGATATATTAAAACATAATCTCACAATTAACTACCTAAAAAAATTGACCATATATTTTGGAAAAGAGTATTTAGAAATATTTAAAAAACAATAAGTGCGTATTTATCCACAACACANATAGAAATTCACAGTCCCATGAAATAGTAAACATGTTGATATATTAAAACATAATCTCACAATTAACTACCTAAAAAAACTGACCATATATTATGGAAAAGAGTATTTAGAAATATTTAAAAAACAATAAGTGCGTATTTATTCACAACACGNATATATTAAAACATAATCTCACAATTAAC